GCTGCACTATACATCAAACTTGGTAACAAGCTGTCTCATAAACACAAGGTTGCCATTGCACTTGACATTCTCCATGGGCTGCTGCACATTCAAACTGACCTCAATGCAGTTTTATCAGGAAAATACTCACTTGTTCCCAAGAGACGATTGTGTGGCGTTCAGCTGGCTCCTTTTCCACAAAAGTCACTTCAGCAACTCCTGGGGAAGTCTCTGAAAGGAAAAGAGGAGCATGTTTGCAGCTGGCATGGGTGACAGCAACACTGTGAGACAGACAATTTTGCAAACTAATCTGAGTGACAGCCAGGGAAAAGGCATTAATGATTGCAAGCATTGTGCTGGTGACTGAGCAGTCCCTTTCTTTCGTCTGTAACTGTACTTTGCATGTCTTGGCATGAGGCTGTCTAGTGCAGAACAAAATGTTATCCTTTGATTTTTTTAATACATATATATGTACATGTACACTAATTTAGTGGGTGACATTCCTACCCAGGGTGGGAGGGGTTAGAACAAGATGATCTTTAAGGTCCCTTCCAACTCAAACCATTCTATGATTCTATGATGTAAGCACACCCCATTTGTCTTCAAGGTGTGATCTTTTGCAAAGGTTTTCATGGAAAATGGAAAAAACAATCAGTGATGAGTTTTGAGGCAAACTCTTACAGGGGGATGAATCTTAATTTGTAAGCATGCCCTGTGGTTTCTGTTGAGTAGGATATCCTCACCTGGGCACAAGATGTAGTGCAGTGCTGCTGTGAACTGCTAACAACCCTATTCCACAAGGGCAGGCACATTTCAGCTCTGGATTCAATGGGTTTGGACAGACACAGAACCTGATCATGCTGAAGGGATCTGCATGAGCAAACATCAGTTCTCTGGAACCTCAGCTGGACATATGAAAATTTGTTACAAGCACTGACCTTCTATCAATCTATAAAATCTTCTGAATATTTTATGGGAAGGAATGCTATATAAATGTAAGATACTAAGCCACATGGTGCTTTCAGGTGTGTGATGGCAGAATAGACTCCTTTACAATTACTATTTTATAATGTTTTATGTCACCCACAGCCAACTGAAATAATTCCCCTGAGATAATTCTCTTTGGATCAAGTCCAGAAAGACTACTAAATTGTTGTGGGAACTGCAAGCCCAGCAGACAGGGCCATGGAATAGAAGTGATAACTATGCAAGGCTTTCAAGACTGGCTCTGCTGTGAAAGTATTGGCCCCTAAAGCAGTCACACACATTACAATTGCTTTCTGGTAAAACATACACAGTGCACCAGACAGGAAAAGCAGGCACTAGAGAGCTTTGGTTTGTTTTTTATCTTCAATGCCAGGCTTTTAATTCTATTAATAGCATTGTTCTTGTCTGTTCTGTTGGTGGAACAGTGGCACTCAGTTTCAGGAAGCCTAAACTTCACTTCAGTTGGAAATATTGATTGTTACATTGTCAGATAATTGAAAAGAAAAAACAAGGCATCAGATAAATAAACTCCAAGTTAAAAACACAAAAAAATTTTCATAGTTGGTCACACAGGTAAATTTGTCTGGCCAAGGGGGACCCCCAACATACAGAAGACTCTGACGTTTCACAAAGTTTCACTTCTGGTAGGTGGGTCCAAGGCGGGGTGATCTGTCTCTTGCTCAAATATAAGCTGTGTGAACGAGTGAGTGGAATCAATTATCTAACTAGTCTTTTCCATCTAAGCTATGCAAACCTTATGACAAGTTGAGGAGATTATAATAACAGAGTAATTGTTATTTCTGTGATCAAAGAAAACAGCAGGGATGTTTAATTCATCATGCACAACATCTTGGCTGGGATGACAGAAGATTAAATATCGTATCAGTCAAAGAAGAAGTCTAGGAAAGAGAGAATGCAACTTCTAAAGAGGTCTGAACCAAATCCAACATCAAAAGAAAGGGAAATTCCATCTTAAAAGCCCAAATATTATATTAAAAATATACTGTAGGTAAACTGAAGACCATATTTAACAAACACACATAGATATGGACAGGAGCGCCACTGAACATTTGGGTAAACTTTGCAATGAGTTGCGTTTCCTTCCAGATGGAAGAAATAAAGAAGCCACTTTAGTGTCACCTAGATACATGAAAAAGCTTAACTTCTTCAGACTACACCCTATAAATTAATCTGAATCAAGATCATAGTAAACTTTGCCCTATTTTTAGGACATTTCGTCTGGAAGCTCCCAAAACCACTTTGCAGTATTGATCAGAAACAGTCAACGTAATGGTGTGACACAAAGCTGAAGCAGAAAACCACAGGATTTTCAGTCTTTACAGTTATATTTTACTTTCTTTTTTACTTTACTATCTTTACTGCCTGTAAGCTGGCTAAACTCTCAGCCTAATTTTAAAATGTTTCAATAGTTACATTCTTATCTAATACAGAGTGCTAATAGTGACGTATGGTTCCATCTTGGGCATTCCAGAAGAGCCAACACCTTCCATTCTGACTTAGTTATGAATAATATCTTTCTGGAATTTTCTATTACTCACAGAACTTCAGCAAAATGAGTACTGGCAATGGGAAAGACCTCTCCCTTTTTTCCCCTCAAGGTATAGCCTCCACAATGCTTGTGAGAAATATCCCTTCTTGTAGGGACTTCCACAGAGACTAAAGTTAAAAAAAACCAAACCAACAAAACAATGCCTTATTGTACCTTACTTTAGGCAGAAAATATCAAGTGACTTCATGAGACTTTCTGAAAGATTTAAAGTAAGATAGTTTCTAGTAGTAATAAATAGAGAGTGAGGCGTCACTCTGAATGAGATACCCTTTTTATTTGAAAGAAACAAGCACTGAACAGACTGGTTATGTTTCCCAATTAGCTAAGCAATTCTAATTAATTTGGTGGCGCAGCTGAAATGCCTTGGACTACTTCACTGGAAAAAATGGGCCAAATTCCCAGAAGGTGTGGAGAGACACAGAAAAGGAGTAAAACATCACTGAGATGGACATTGCTGTATTGCACAATACAAGTTGCCAGCAACGCAGAGAGAAAAAGAAAAAAACACAAACCAGGAAACAACTTCCGCACGAAAGGGACATGGCAGGACTTTCAGAGCCATACCTGCATTGCCATGTCCTGCTGGTGTAGCCATTACACCTACCCAAAACAATTTATATGGCAACACAACATTCAGACACAGCTCACATCTCACAGCTCTCACACACCTGAGGGTGGTGAAAATGTGGGCAGGGCTAGTAATTTTTTAAAAAGAGCTACTTCAAAGAAGCTTCTGCTATGATGATGACGATCAGTTTCACTCACAGAGCAGAGATAATGTTATCCTGACCCCACAACTAACAAAACAAACAAACAGGAAAAAAATCCACCCACCACTCCCCTCAAGAAGTCTAATAATAAGTCAGTATGACAACACTGATCAGAGATTGAGGGTGAAATCCTGTCCTCACTGAAGCTCAGAGAAAGAATTTAACCCATATCTTTTAATCTCATCTGTCTGAGCAGCTATCCAAACCCAAGTGCAACTATAGATACACTGAGGTTATAAGGTGAAACTCAATGCCTCTTTGGGGTGAGATAATAACAGAGCTCACTTTTGGCTCTAAGATTCCCAGGAAGAAATTCCAGGACTGCAATTTGTAATCTTGTTGTACACATAGTTTGGGATAGATGTATGGCTTTTCAGCCTTAGAAATAAGACCTGTGCTCTGTCCTGCTGAGGTACGAAAGGTCTAATGCTGAAATCCTTTGCACACACAAATACTTGCACAAATGCTTATGATTCCACTGATATGAGTAAAGTTTTGTCTGAGAATACCTCTTTTGGATGCCTTGCAGTCCTGCTGAACTTCAGAGGGAGCTGAGGGGACGCAAGAAGGCTCAATATCTGAGCAAAACCTGGAAATGACAATCAGGGCATTTTGTGGAACAAGTCTCAATGTGGGAATGAGCCACAGGGCAACTATTTATGGGATCTGATCCCGAGCAGATTGACAAATCGGCCTTCTACCAGAACACTGATAAACCATGCCAAACTCCCCTTCATGGGGCATACTCCCTGCTGACCCCACATTACCACAGAGGATCAAATTGAGGCACGATTTACACAAGAAGGTTGTGTGGAGACCTCATAGTAACATTGCAATATTTAGAGAGGGCCTACAGGGAAGCTGGAGAGGGACTCTTCATTATGAGCTGTAAGTGAGAGGACAAGGAGCAACGAATACAAATTGAAAGAGGGGAAATTTGGGTTGGGTATTAGGAAAATTTTCACTTTGACGGTGGTGAGACACTGGCAGGTTTGCCCAGAGAAGCTGCGGATGTCCATCCCTCACAGTGCTCTAGGCCCGGCTGGATAAGGCCTTGAGCAACCTGCCCATAGCATCAGGGCTGGGACTGGATGATCTTAGCGGTCTCTTCCCACCTTTTAACATTCAACGATTCCATGATTTTTCATAAAACACCACCTTCTCCTTCTCTGGTGTTTATGAAACTCTTAAAGTCGAGAGATTCGGGATTCCTGCCGTTGCTTCCAAAAACAAGGATGTGTCTGTGTGTGTGCACAGGCTGCTCAGCTGAGCGATTCACAGGAGGGGCTGTCACAAAAGGGTGGCTCCCCCCGCCCACGGCCTGCCCCCGCCCCGTGGTCTGTAGCTCAACGCAACTCACCCAAGATCCTTGTGACGCCCAAGGTGAGCTTGTCCAGGTAGGGCTTGATGCCGGTGGGGAGTTTTTCCTCCATCCTCCGCGGGACCCTCCTGTCTCTACCCAGCCTAACAGAGAACAATGCCTTTCTGGCCTTTCTACTGCCCCGTAGCCGCAGGGTACGCTGGGAATAATAGTTCTTCCGGGCGGTGCCCTGGTCGGCCCATGGCGGCCGCCGGCGCTCAGAGGACTACGATTCCCGGCATGCCTCGTAACCCTCCGCGTTCCTCAGGCGCAGACAGCCAATGGGCGGCGAGAGCCGGGGGTGCGGCGGGGGTATGCGGGGAGTGGCGGCTGTTTCAAGATGGCGGCGGCGGCCGCCGGTGTGGGTGGAGGTACTCGCCGGGGCCGGAGCTGTATCCTTGCCTGGGGGTCGGTGTGAGGTGACAGGGGCGGGAGAGGCCATCGGGGGCATGCGGGACGGCCTGTCGAGGGGTTTGGCGTGGAACCGATGCGGCGCTGTGGGTCGGGTGGGGTTCTGTGGCCGTGGTAGAGGCTATGTGAGGGCTCCGCTGGCGAGTGTGGAGGGGGCTTAGCCTGGGGAGAGGGAGTGGGTATGTGCCGGTTTGTAGGGCTTACGCGGGATTGCATAGCAAAAGTGACCTGGGAGAGAAGGGAGGGTCGTAAGTCCTCTTCAGTGTGACCCAGCTGTGAAATCTCGGGTCAAGTAAATGCATAGGGAATGGGGAAATTGCGTTCAGTTTATGGGGACTTGTCAGGGAACCAATGGAGAGAGTGAGGTTGAACAGCCCGGAGAAAAGGAGGCTCAGGAGAGATCCTATCGCACTCTACTACTGCCTGACAGGAATTGGTTGTGGCCGGGTGGCAGTCGGGGTCTTCTCACAGGTGACAAGTGACAGGACAAGAGGACACAGTCTTAAGCTGCTGCAGGAGAGGTTTAGGTTGGACATTAGAAAGCATTTGTTCACACAAAGGGTGATTGGGCATTGGCATGGACTGCCCAGGGAGGTCGAGGAGTCATGGTCCCTGGAGGTGTTTGAGGAAGGACTGGACCTGGCACTCAGTGGTTGACACACAGCTCGATGATCTCAGAAGTCTTTTCCAATCTCATTGATTCTGTGATTCTTTGAAACTGAGGCTAGAAGCTGAGCAGGGAAGAGATGTGTGTTTTGTGACTGGCACCTAAACCTGACTACAAGCACGACATTTTGGGTGAGCCTGTGTGGGACTTGGAGGGCTCTGTCACTAAGGGATGAGTGTGAGATTGGCGTGGTTTCATATGCAGAGGACCTGCAGGCTCCTGTTGTGGGAGACTACGTGGGGCTGGACACGTAGATGGTGTGGGTGGTGGCTGTGGTGTTGGGAGCTCAGCCTGTACAAGCCTGGTTGGGGAGAGATGTGCCTGTGTGGCTCAGGGAACCAAGAGCTGCCATTGGTGTTTGGGCTTGTGTGGCTGTGTTGGAGGCTCAGCAACTTGAAGTCATTGGGCTAGAATTGATAGTCTGGCCTGGGAAATTTAGAAGCTGACAATTTAGTTCCAGTTATGAGGTGTTTGAAGCACTGCTGTTTGTCAGACTGAGAGTGGGATGTCAGTATCAACTGGAAGAGATTGGAAAGAAGAGTATGTGTCTGTGCTCTTTGATTTATGTTTGCACGCTCCCTGGGATAATATGAAAGGGCCAACCATCGCATGGCCTGTTGAGGGAGCATGTTGTTATGATTTTCTATCTGTGTAAAGTAAAAAAGGTTGTTGACAACTTTTTCTGTGCTGTGAATGGGATGAAGGTGTGTGGCACATGTCGGATTTATTGCCACTGTCACTACTCTGCTCAGTTGTGGAAGTGTTGATGCAATTGACAGTCTATTTTTATCAGTCAACAGGTTGTTTCCTATAACTAAATATGGTTTAAAGTGCCCAGCAGTGGCCTCATGCATCATGATATTCCAAGGAATGAAGTTTTTTCTGACAACCATTTCCATTCTACATGTTTTGGTGAATAGGCAGTGTTTCCTCTGACCTTGAAAAAGTGTAAATTCTTAGAAAAGCAAATGGCACAATTTAAAAATAATGGTAGTGTATGCTTTCAAAAAAAGAGGAGAAATTTGGTAGATTGGTGTAATACATTCGGAAAACTGAAGTTCTCTCCATCCTTGTTGAATCGACTCAGCACAGGAAGGCAGATTGTGTAGGTGAACTGTACCAGGTGTTGAGCTTCTCCAGTGCCTCTCTCTGCTGTTCACTGAACTTTAGCTGTGGTGGTACACAGCTTTTAATACTACACTTGCCTTACTGGCAGTCTGGGAGGCACGTGGCAGTGGGTTAATGCTAGAAGGTTGATGCTGGTGCTGTCCCCAGTCTGTTACTCTGAGACAAGGACATTGCTTATGAATCAGCCTCTGGGTCATTGTGATTTTCAGTCCAGCTGATTAAGGTAGCCTGCTCTAACATTGAGTGGTTTTAATACACTGGGCTGCAAAGCTTCACCAGGAGGGTCGTCCTGGTAGCTGGGGGGAGTAATAGCAACAACTTTGACTAGTCTTTGCATCCTGCTACTAGGAGTTTATCCACAACAGCTGGCAGTACCAGAGGCACACTCTGAAAGCAGGATGTTGTTTAGGCAGATCGTTTTATTTCCTATAGCCATGTGTTGACACACAGATTAACCGTATGTCAGTTGAGTAGGAACTGTCTGTGCTGAAGTTTGTTGTTTCCTGATGCAATGTGAGCTGAACATACACTTCTCAGCAGCCTGCAGCTTGCTGTTGTGGCTGTGCTGACACAGCTGTTTGGGCTGGGCTGTGATCCAGACTTGGACTTTTGATCCATCTTGGTGCTTTTTGAAAAGGTACGCACAGTGCCTTCCTCGTGGAGTTTGTTCAGCTTCCTCTCCCTGTGCTATGGCCCCACAGTGTGTTCTGGCAGCTGGAGGTGGCAGGCTGCAGCTCACACGTGAGAGAAGAAATGCTCTCAGTGTTTGCAGAGAGAGCTGGCTTTGACTGCAGTACTCACTGAATGTGTTTTTAAACTGGTGTGAGGCTGATGAGTGATAATTGTTTATGAGTGATAAAGTGCATCAACAAGATCATAAGTGAGCCTGTGATCAGGCCCTTCCAGTGTGACAAGTACCAGATGTCTGATGGACAGTGGGTGTTGATTGAAGTTGCTGTCCACAGAGGGAAACTCCTAGTTTTCCTAATTTCCTCCACTCTGTGGTAATTTACTAAATTAAATTTTTGAGATGGTGCTCTCAGAATCAAATTTTAGTTAAGGCAAGAATTTGTATAGGGTCACTGAAATATTTTCACAATTTTACTTTATTATATGAATGCAGCTGCAAAACCTTAAATGCATTTATCTGTTAACAGTAGAGAAATTAGATAATTGAGTAATTAGTAGAAATTTGAGTAGTAGTAGAAATTTGACAATTGAGATAATTGGCCAACCATAGAAGGATGAGGAAAGTAAAGGGGTATAAAAAAAAGTTAGTGGAGGAGAATTTTGTGCCCTGGGCTTTTGTTTTCCACTTCAGTATTGCCCTGGTTTCAGCTGGAGTAGGGTTAATTCTTTTCCTTGTACTTGGTATGCTGTGTTTTGCATTTAGCATGAGGATAATTCTGATAACACGCTGATGTTTTGGATGTTGCTCAGCAGTGCTTACCCAAAACCATGGACTTGGGTGACCCGTGCTCTGCCAGCGAGCAGATGCAGAAAGAGCTGGGAGGGATCATGGCCAGGAGCTGGCCAAAGGGAGATTCTGTAACAGAACATCATGTCCAGTACATAAACTGGGGAGTGCTGGCTGGGAGCTGCCAGTTCCTGCTGGGGAAAGGGTTGGGCATTGTTCAGTGAGCAGCTATACTGTGCATCACTTGTTTCTTTCAGGTTTTAATTCTCTCTCCCTCTTCCCTTATGTTGCAGTTATTATTATTGTCCTGTTTTATTTTGTTTCAGTTATTAAGCTTTTCTTATCTCTACCCATGAGGTTTACTGTTTCTCTCTGGTTTTCCTCCCCACTTGAGGCAGGGAGGTGGACAGGGAGTGACTGTGTGGTACCGAGTTGCTGGCTGGGATTAAATCACAAGTATGTTAGTTATTCATGTGGGAATGACAATCTTTAGGTTCAGCTGAGTGAAACTGCTCCTTGAAGGAAGGCAGTATGATTTACACCCTTCCCTTAGTTATATGGAGTCCTATTTTTAGGCTTTCAGGAGGCAGGGATTCAAGTTCAGTGACTGCTAGCAGTAAGAGTGACTGCTAATAGCACAAATAATATGGTGCCGTGTTCTTTCTGATTTTGAAGTGTTTTCTGTGGTCAAGTAATTTAATAGTTAAACCTCTGGGATATTTGAAAGTTCTTGAAACTTAAAGAAAATGAGTCCTCAAGCTCTTATGATTACTCATCATGTGATGATCAGATGAGAGTGACCAGTTTGAAACCTTTTGCATTTGTCCTCATTTATGTTTCTTAAAATGTATTGCCAAAATAGATTTCATTGCAGTATCAATATACACTGTTTCAGAATTTGCTTTCCCTACACATCAAGATGTTCCATATAAACTGTTCAAATTTAAATAAATATTATTAGTTCATTATCTTAGTAATTGCTCTTGTAACTGGGGCTGGTCCCTGGGATCTTTTGCAAAGATGACCTCTGAGATAATCTTTACAGGCTGAAAGTTAATGCTCAGTGAAGAAGGAGTAAGGTCTTTTGTTTTAGCAATCTTTGTGGTGATTTTTTCTTAACCAAGTTTTCCTTGCTTTTCTTGCTCCCAGAATGTTGACTGTTTTCTTATCAACAGCTATGCAAAATTAAGACACCAAATACTACTTTTTACAGTCCTGTTTAAAGAGCTAAGCTTTCACTCTTTTTATTTCCTTTAACAAAGCCACATGCAGCTTCTGATGAAGAAGATCCACTGGTACCTGTTTCAGGTATGACCTTCTAATAGACATAAACAAAGGTTTTTTTTTTTTCCTGTGGATGATAAAATTTGCAGTGTCTTTTCAGGTGTGTGGTTTGTGTACATAAGTGTGTGTAAGGTAGAGAGTCATCATAAGTTGTAATGGGACATACATGATTATAGCAGAGGATTTATGCTCTGCTGCTGAGATAAGCATCCTGTATAAGATGAATAGTTCCAGGGGAGTTGTTTCTGTTGCAGGTACAGTGTGGCTTTACCCAATTTATCAGGCAAGCTGAATTTTTAATGTGGTCTCCAAGGAATGTTGAAGCATTAGAGGTGTTAGGTCTTTTGTAAGTTTTGAAAATATCAATTGAAATGAAGATTCATTGTGTACAGATAAAGCAATTATTTTTTTTTATTAGCTCTTTTGACCTTGATTTACTGAGTGCACACTTGTGTACATCGCTAGGGAAAAGATGAATGCTCTTAGTTCCCCTTCAGAATTCTCTTAATTGTTTTCAAACACAGCTCTTAAAGTGACACAAGGTCCTGGAAACGTATCTGGGGATAGTTAACTCTAGACTGAAACTGTGTGTGTCATCCAGCAGTTATAAGTTTTGAGGAATTGTACTCTTCAGGTTTATGGTACCCTTCAAAACTACTGGCCAAACATCTCTGTTGAACTACAAAACACATGGGAGATTTGTAAGCCAGGTGATGATGGATTGTTTTTCTCTGGGCCCTGCAAAGAAAGCAGTGATCCTAAACAATGGAAATTGATTCACTGTGGGAAGTTTTCTACCACTTCTGTGGGAGAGAATTTCAGGACCATTGTTTTTGTTTATGTAGGGGCACGGAGATATTAGAGTTTATAATTCAGTTCTTTCACTTGAATTCTGGTACACTTCTGAAATTAATTACCTAAATAATTGTAATTGATCTGCTTGTATGAAGTTAATATTTTTTGTTCAAAACTTTTTTGCATTTCTGAATAGTCAAAAATTAAACCTTGAGGCAGTACCAAGCAGCTATGGGCTTTAATCTGGTCCTGGGAGTTTTAGTGTTAGTGTCAGTGTTGGCACTTTGTAATTGCAGCATCAGGATTTTCAGTGCTTTCATGTTCTTACCATTCGTAGTGGTGATCTAATTCTAATTATGGCAGGAAGTGTTTGACAGATGAGCTGTGGAGTGTGCACTGCAGTATTGCCTTACTCATTTGCCTGGTCCTGAAAGGAACAAACAGTCTGAGCATCAGTAGGTTGGCTGTGTAACAGAAAAAGTGGTATTTTATTATATGAGTGGTGCTTTTAACAGCTTTACTGCTGGTTGGTTCTTTACTGTCTTTGGGTATCAAAGCAGAAGCTCAATTTTATGCTTTTGCATCTTACTCAAACACAGTTTATTTGCACTGAATTTTAGTCTGAAGACATAATGTGCGTTTCAGAATTTACAAAATGTTTATTGTGGCTGGATGTGCTTCAGTGCCATGCACCTCTTTTTCTGCTGATGTGTTCATCTTACTGAAATTTTGTATGGAGTGAGAGGCTGGGGGGAACTGCAGACCTATTCCTGAGGTGCTCATTCTTTTCAAAAAAAGAGCTGCTAAGGCAAGGTTGCTTTTGTGGAAGGCAAGAATAAGGCCCCTTTTCACTTTATAATCTGCATGTTCTGCTTGTCTTTCACTTACAGGAGTGTCTACAAAAGGAAATTTAAGAACAAGGTGTTTGCCAAAATATCAAACAGGTCAAACTGAACTGCAGGTGCCTGTAGCTGTTGCTTCTGTTTCCATGGATCCTGATAGAGGTACAGGAGGAGGTCCGACAGGGCAGCAGGTGAGTAAAAGCAAATTTTTCTTTCTCTTAAGAGTGCACATTGTAGAAAAAAAGCTGAAAATTTTCAGATTGAAAATGTTTAAACAGTTTTAGAGTATTGTTTTTACAGTTTCTTACACTTTTTGCCCACTTTATATCATGGCTTTCTAGCAGAAATTATCACCTGAAGACAACAAAGGCTGAATGTGCTACTTTATGTAAGTGGTGTGTAAGTGGGGCCATGTAAAACAGATTGTTTATATTTCAATGTGTGTATTTGCACAGAGGCAGTGCATGTAACCCTGGGTAGTGCCTAGCCTATACTTTACTAGCTAAACATGCAAGAAGTTTTGTTTATTTTATTCATTTTCATTGCTCTAGTCATCTCATTTAGAAATTACATGAGCAAAAACTCATTTTAGGGACCTTTTTACTATGCCTGCTCATGTTAGAAGGGTAAAATCACTTTTTGTTTTTGATAGTAAAAGTTCAAAATGCATTTGAGCAGTAGAAGTAGCTTTGTCAGTTGATGTCAACTGCTTTGAATTTTGTGGTCTCCTCCTGTGAGACTAGGTGATGTGTTTCTACAGTTCCTTGCATTAGAAATTCCAAAGCAGCGGGGTTTCCTTTGGAAGGTTATTCTGTGTTGTGACAGATGCTGTTTAGAAATCTGTTGAGAGATGCCATTTTTCTAATGTGGTTTGTGTAGTACAATGACTGTGTGAGTCATTTGACTGCTGTTGAGTCTCTTGCCTAGCAGTCATCTTGGGCCAGCCTGTAAATCACTGGGGTTGGCTTCTTCCTGCTTGCAGGCAGGATCTAAAACCTTTGACTGGTTCTGCATCACTGTTTTATTATCATGCAGTTAGATCTTGTTCTTCATCTAAGATGTCCTTCCCTGCCTTTTGTGTGCTGAGTAACAGCTGTGTGTCAGACATGTAGGTTCAAAACTCTGATGTGAAGACAGATCACACAATTCTTGTTGCTGTGACAGTGTCATTGCCCTTTGAATCCTTCAGCATGACACATGACTCGTTGCTAAACTAGTATTAATTTTTAGGGCTTTTCCTGGACATGTATATTTCCCTCTCTCTGTTTATCGGTACTTGCTTTTAGAGGCTGGTATGTACCTCTACTTTGCAAATCATGCTGTTAAGTGGCATGCAGATAAATTCCACAAATAGCCCCCATTATGCAGAGTCTTTATGTAGAAGCATCTCTTCATAAGTATCTACAAGCCTGCTGCCTCACAGATGCCTTCATATGCCACATTAAAATCTGTTTTGTTGAATGGTGCATTGATTGCGTTACTTGTTGTCTAGAGAGTTTTTACTCTTTTTTTTGTGAAAGCCATTGTATAAATGGGTTTTGGTGTACTCTTATTTTAAATATAATGCCTGATACGTGAAATCTTAATTGGTGACTCGTGCTTTTATAGATGAGCTCACAGCTATGTTTCATTTTTGTCTTTTTAACCCTTCTGTTTTTCGCTTGCCTTGCCAAATTCTTATGGAAACTTTGTACTCTGAAGATAAGCTCTGAATACTTGAAACAAACAGAACACATGTTTTTACTCATTATTGAAGAAGAACTTCTTTTGCATGGAATTCTCATCAAAAACACAACTTTCTGCAAAGTGTTGTGTGTATGTCTAGGGAGAGCTGATGGCTTTACTATGGCTTAGAGTCATAGAAGGGTTTGGGTTGAATGGGACCCTAAAGATCATCCAGTCCAACCCTCCTGAAATGAGCAGGGACACCTTCCACAAGTGCAGGCTGCTCAGGGTCTCATCCAGCCTGGCCTGGACATAATTCTGAGTAAAATGCTCTAGGCTGGAGTAGGTGAGCTACTGTAGTACTTTCTATGATCCTGCATGATTTTGTCATGCAGTTATCACCTTCCAAGGTGTGGAGAATATCTTCCCTGTACCGAGTTCCAAAACTGTCTTCTATCCTGAGCTGTGTAGAAAGGACAGAAATCTGGGAAATGGAGAGAGTCTTGGCCTCTACCTCCTTTGTTGTCTTCTTTAGATGGTCAAGCTGTTGCTGTGCATTATTCCACAGCTTCATTTTGATGTGTGTTATGGTACAAGTCTTCCTCTGATAATTTCCTGTGTGCCATCTTTACTTGTGGGTGATAGGAAAAACTGATTTTCCTCTTCATCCCACAAAACTTTGTCTGACAGTATGTACATCAGTTTGGGTAGTAGTTTTTGAGATCTTCTGTTAAAATCCCCTTCAGTAATGTGATCAAGCTTCATCCTCTTTTTTGAGGTCAGTAACTTTTCATTTTTCTTAAAGAAGTTTCATCATCTGTCTGCTAAAAAAAAATAGTCACACATTTTTAGCATGTGAAGTGAAATTCCTTCAACCATATTTTTAGTTGAATTCAGTCAAGTTAGACATTCTCTCTTCATTTGTGAGTGACATATGTTTGGCAAGAAAACTGAAATCAAATGCCCCTTGAAAAGAGCTGAAATTTGCCTTATGAAATTCCTTTCCCCCTCGCCCCTGAGAAAAATACACTGAAGTTAAAATGAAGGATCACACAGGTATAACATGAGTCTGTGTGAAAACATCACCTCTCTTCGTAGTGGACATTATTCTTTACTTGTTTTTAAGATGCTGTTTAATTAGCTAAGAAGGAAAGGGGTCACTTACTCTCTGGTGTAGATCAGCTGCTTTACTGATAATGAGAGAAGCCCAGTGTTGGCTTTGTATTCTTTTGTGCATTATTGTGTTGACTTAGCCAAACTTCAGGGCATCTGGTGGCATTCTTTTATCTGATCTAAAGCACTGCATTCACTTGGGGGGGTTTGTAAAAGTATAAACTGAAACTCCTTCAGAATGAGTGGAGGTACTGAAACTTGCCAAAATCCTGGACACAACAGCATAGCTCTTATTGCTGCATTTATCTTCGGGTTCCTATTTCGTGCTTACCACTAGCGCTGCAGTACTGAATACCCGATCACAGGAATTTTGGGTGAATAAAACCAGTTTGGAGGCGTTTCCTGCGTGGAAGAAGCCGAAGTCGGGAATGCCGGGCAGGAGAGTGCCCTCCGGTGGGCACGCCTGGGAAGTGCAGCGGCTCGCTCCCTGCGTTCCCGGGAACGCGTGAAAGATCTGAAGTGCTCAGCCCTGCTACAGCCTTCTTTGACAAGTTTTATTTACTAAAGGAGCATAAACTTAGTAGTATAGTACATATCTAAGGAAAAAAAAAATCATAATATATATATATTTATTCGTAAATATAGTATATATTTTACAAAATAAGCAAATAAACCATTAAAATGAAACAGTAGCTGCATGTGAAGGTGTGTGTGCTTTTCTCTGTATTAGAAAAATGAAATAAGGGATGCCCTCTGCTAACAATATTTTGCTGTTTTGTACGCTTTGCTCAGAAATGCTAAGGCAGTGTGTTTTTTTCTTACTCCCTATGTTATGATCCTAATATAATAAAGTTTGAAGTTGGATTTGGATATTGCTGCATTAGATTTCCATGAGAACCTACTCCTCTTTATCTAGTATGAATCAAGAAATAGCGAATGTCTTAAAACTTTACCCAGCATGTTTTAGTATTGAAGCTAGCAGCTTGCATTTGAATTACAAATACCTTAAAATAATTCTTCACAATTTGGTAATTTGTTTCATTGAAATGTACTTACAATTTAAATAATATGAATTTTATTCCCAGTTGGAATTGATCTACTTTCAGCTTCTAATTATTAGGTCTTGAAATGCTTTTAATAGCTTATGAAGTATTTGTTTTCTTTTAAACAGTACATTCTAAAATGTAACTTTAAATTTTCAGGGCACTAATGAAGGAGGAATGAAGAGTGCTTCTTTAAAGGATTTGTGTCCTGAGGACAAGAGACGCATTGCGAACTTAATTAAAGAACTTGCCAGGTAAGAAGAAGCATCACCTGAAAATGCATTAAGTTTAAAGAGAGTCGTTTCTCTAATTAACATCAAGCAATGTAGAACTGCTTTAAAAACCTGAATATTTGCACAAGGTAATTTTTCTTGCTGGAAAAAGTATGAAGCAGCCTGGTTGGTTTTTCCTTGCTTTCTGAGTCCCTAAATATATATTTAAAATGGAGGCCAAAATTTCATGACCAGCAGTACTTCTGTAATAACCCAATGACAGGGCTAGGATTTTGTTTGTTGTGTGTATCAAGTGCTACAAATAAACACATTCTGCTTTTGGAAATGACAGACTTTGTTGGTATGAAACTTTGTAGTCCTTATTATTTGGCAGAGGTAAGCTTTTGTATGAAAGGCCATGTTAAAGGTGAGTTGCTCTTCTCGTGGCTGAAACATGTTGGTAATTATTTGCCTATGTAATTTGTACTTAAATAGCTAAACTTCTTCTTGCTTCCCTTAATTTCTTCTGATTCTACCTATTCCTTGAAAGGAGAGGCAGAAATAGTGCAAGTTTCTCAGCTTTAGCAGAAGTCTTTTTCTAAGTTCCATTGCAGTGCTAGTTACAGTCTCAAAGGTAAAGGAGGTAAAAAAGAGTTTGAATTAAAGTGAGGAGATTTTTGTCCTACTCTTTATCCCTAACACCTCAGGATCTCTGGAAATCCTTTTCTTACAGAGTCACTGTAAAAATGAGGAGGAGCACATGGGCCTTTGGTAGGCTTTGCCATATCAGTGGGGGAAGCTCTTGTGAGATGATCCCAGGTCCTTTGGGCTAGAAGTTATTGTTAATAATTACTGTTAATAATTAAATGCTTTTTGACGTAGATCCCTTATGTCTGTGCAATAATTGGCAAGCATTACTGTTCTTTTTTCATTTTATATAGGAAAATATGGAAAATTAGAGAAATTAAGTGACTTGCTCAAGGTCATGCAATAACTCTCTGGTGCAGCTAGGAGTATTTTCTCTCTGATTATCCTTATCCAGTGGACCATTTTACCTGCTAATAATTTTTACTAATACAGGATTTCTTGCCATACAGTATTTTAGTAATTTCTGGAGTTCTTCATGCTTGCAACTCTATTTTATCATGCCTTGTGTTAGAAAATGTATAGTTAAGACTGTCATAAAGAGTAGATTGGTGGGATGCCTGGTTACAAATTGTCAGATTGTTGGAGCTATTCGGACACTGTTGCCACTGTTGATATATAGAGGTATATTCTAATATTAAAAAAAGCCTTTTATTACATTGTTCCTCATAATACACTGCTCCCTAGTGAATAGTAGTACAGTAATTCATTCGAGCATGGGATTCTTCTTAAATCTCAGATGCTGTGATTTTTCCCTGAGGACAGTTTGATATTTCTGCCTGACATTTCTTTGAAGAAAAATAGAAGGTGCAGCAACATTAATTTTGAAAAGTAAAATTAGTGGAACACTATTATTTTATACTTAGTTCTCTTTTATTTTTAAACCTAATCATATTTTTATTGGATGTAATTAAAAGTCCTTTGCAGAGTAATAGGGAAGTTGAACTTTAATTCCGCTCACCTCGTCACTTTTTTAAAACTCTCCATAATTTTCATCCTTAGTTGTGCAATGATAGAGAGTTTTTACAAGCAGTAGAACATTCTTTGCTACTTTGGAGAAGAAAAAGGAGCAGCAGAATGTTGAAAGTTTTACAGGAGCACTGTCCTGCAGTAAATACTTGGAATAATAAAGGTCTCACTTGGGCTATACCTTGCTCTTCCTTATTTTGCTATAATTTATGAATGGTAGTTGAGGCTAATTCATGCACGTTTGTTGCAGGATGGTAAACAGATACAGTTTGGTCAGTAAGCAGCTGCATGAAAGCTCTTTAAAAGTGGTAAAATTCTGTTTATGTGGAAACCAGTTGCAAAATATGATTGACTCCTGGGGCTTTAATTTCAGCCAGGTGTTGCTTGAGCAGTTCAGGGTAGTGGTCTTCCCCCAGCTTCTGTGACTGCTGAAGGAGAGAGACCTCTCTTGTACTTTTCTTCCCGTTTTTTACGTTTTTTCCTCCAACTCTCACTCCCACTGCACTTTTGAACATTGAGGGTGCTGGTGCAGTTGCTAATTTGCTGAAGTGTAAGACTTTGTATTGGTATGAGTGAATTCTGATGCTAGCTACATTAATATAATTTTCTCTGGGGTAAAAAAAGAAGAGCTTCTGGGCTGTAAAGATCTCCTGCTGGGGATTCCAGTGGCTGACATCACCTTAGCTGTTCGGAATTTTATGGAATTGGATTTTGAGACAGGGTCTAAAGAAGGAACTCAGCTGTATCCTTTCTAATCCTCCTTTCTAGGCTAAATAATCGTAGTTTTTGATCTGTGCTTCTGCCTGTAAATCTAACCATTATCTTGCCCTTCTTTGAATGTATCCTTTTAAGGTGAAATGAGAGTGGCAGACTGGAGCCAGAGTTTAAAATCCTTGATTGTAGCAAATTCGAGCTTTTTAATTTATTGTGTCAGCAGATTCTTTTAAAATTGCTTTTGTAGAGGAATTTCTGAGAAGAATGAGTCATACCCATGAATGCCAAAGTGCTTTGTGAGTAAGTGGAGTATTCTTGAGTGTGATCAGTCATTATTCTCTGAGACAACCAGTGTGGCACCTTCATGTTTTCAGTTATGTCCTCCTGGTGTGGTGGTGAAAGTGGCACAGTAAGAGCAAATTTTATCTCTCCCTATAAGCAAAGTCCTTTCAAGAGAGGCAAAGAAGACTCTCTCTGAGCTTTTTATTCCTGCAGGCTGCTCCTGGAGCAGTCATCAGCTTATGCAATGAAATGAGCAGTGGCATGGTGAGGACACAGAAAGATTCTTGTGCTCGTGCTTGCTGCCAGTGTCAGGACACATTAGCCTCCTCTGAGAAGGAGCAGCACAGGGCCTGCTGGGACGTAGCCAGCTCACTGTTGAACACTAAGGACTTGCTAGACACCACACTGAGACTGATTATGAAGTATTCTAGGGTGAAATACTTTGATTTACATGCAGAATTTTAGCGATCTCTCTTTCTTGGCCTTTGGTTAAATGGAGAGGATCATAACTCCTTAGCAGAGAGAGTGAATGTGTGTATGTTTGCAAGATTCACTTCACTCTAACTGGTGTATAGCCATAGTTCTGTGACTTTGGGGCTCCTGGTATGGCAGGTACATCATAAATACTTCTTCCCTGATCACAAATGCCTGTACAGCTCACATATGGAGTTTGTCTTTTGAGTGAACAGAAGCATTGAGTAAGTGATGTAGAGTGGTTTATGAAAGTTTAAATTTTGTTTTTAGTGGCAAAAATTGGTACCTAACTACTTTGCATTCTTTCTTTCTTCGAATAAGATAAACTTGGAGAAAGCTGGCTTCCTGTTGTCTTTGCAAACAAATCTTCAAAAGCAGTTTTGGTAGAAAGGTATCATAATGCCCTTCTGCACCCATGGGAAGGAGAGATTTCCCTTTCCAAATGAGATACAAGATGGTTTTTGCTATTATGTTTGTGTTCTGGCTAAGATCACTGGCATGCCCAGAATGACTTGTAACTGGCAGCTACTAAAACAGCCTTCAGACAGCCTGCTATCCCTTATTGAGAAAATGCTTCCCTCATCCCAGCTCTCTGGATTCCGAAACCCTTTGTAGGGTGCTAGCAGTTTGGGATACTAGTCTTTTCTACTGTCTTTGATATGAAGCTGAAATTGACCAACTGAAATTGAAATTTTCTAACAAAAGGTGAAAATGGGTGTCAAAACAGAATACTAATTTGGTTACAGAACTGGAAGCCATTGAAAAGGTTTCAGTAAAGCCATTATAGTGAATATTTGCTGTTTTTCTTCCAGTCCTTAAGATCTTTGAAGGAAAACTTGCCTGTGGTTTGTATTACAAATTTTGTGTGTTTGGCCTCTTGTGTTGCCTTCTCTCCTGGGTTACACTACTTAATATTTAACCAAATTGTTACCTGGCTTTAAAATCAAAATCTTTTATCTTTTTTTGTGTGTTACTTTAGGGGCAATTTTGTGCTGCAGTTTTCTTAATTGGTCAGCAGTGAGACTGCAAATGAGATATCCCTAAGCTTGCCTGGAAATTACTTTGTGTTGATAGGTAAAGCATGCCCAGGATTATTGTATCACCAATCACACTTTCTGTGCGTAAAAAGTCATTTGTAGCTATAAATTCATGCTGTGAAATCTAGTTTTGTATTTTACAGGTTGCATATCATAAAATTTATCCATTGTGTAGCAATTTCAATTAGGTTTTGGGCGCATAGCAGTTTTTTTTTTAATTATTTTTTTCTAATGTGTACAAACTGCATACGATGCTTAAGTAGAATGTATCAGATTTGTGAACCCTGATCCTTGGACAAAAATTCTGTTTCTTTCTTTCCTTCCCCTCTCCCCCCCACCCTGCCCTCCATGGTGGTCTGCCCTGTTCCAGATGCCATTATTTGCCTGGAATTTAAAACCTGTAGTTTTCAAGAATGGTCGCCATAGCTTTTTAATCTTTGCTAGCCAGTTGACAGACTAATACCAGATTGGTGTTTATTAGAAGACAAGTGTTCCCAAGGAGTGTTGGACTGATCAGTGAAGTTCCCAGTGTCTATGTATCTGTTTTTTGTTTAGTTTTTCTTCCGTTTTAACTAGCTGAGCTGCAATGTTCTTACTGCATTTCAGATTTTTTTTTTTGTAAAAGCTCATTTTTTAAAATTTTAAAAAATAGGAGATGCTGTTTTAATTTGCTTTTCCAGCTCTGCCTTCAGTCAGAAAGAGCTGAGTTCTGTCCCTAGTGTAGTGTTGATGTGAGTATTATCATGGCTCTTTCTTGTGCATGTCAGTTTTTCATTAAACAAATAAAACTTGGAAGTGCTGTTGACTTGTGCAGTGCTTCAAAAATTCCACCTGGAGAGCATCAGTCCTGCTTACTCAGTGGAATGAGTCAGTGTCATCAGCAAACTCCTTGATCAATTCCTTCTTTAGATTAGACAGAAATACTAGTATCAGCAGTGGACCTGGGAGCACACAATAATAATTGGAACTGGTGAACTAAGAATTAATTTTAACACTAAGGTGGATGCCCTAGGAGGGGCATCAATATATTTGCATTACGAGTTTTTCGAAAGAGGCTCCTGCAAAATAAAATTATTTATTTAAATGCATTTAGAATTATATAGGCTTTGAACTGTTGAATTTAAAGCAAATTTTGAACAAAGATGGTGCACGTCCTATGGCACAAGGTAGGTGAATGTGAATTGAATGCAAGAAAATGTTGCAGACACTGAATGGAAGGAATAGTTCCACTGATTCATCATCTTTGCTCTCTGCTGTCAGTTGTCTGTTTGATCCTGGAAGCAAGAGCAATGGAGCTGGATATACCAACATATTGCTCAGTGGAGCAGTTGAGCTCTTTGTAGTTGTGCCTTCGTTCTTTCACTGCTCTTTTCTGACCTAAGTGGGTGAACAGAGGGTGAAAATACTTTTGAGGAGCATTATATGAGCCTTGTAATGTTTTTGTAAAGCATCAGTGAAGTCTTCCATACTTCTGCTAAAAATCATATGTTCTTTACTGCCAGAAGGCAAAGAAATAAGTTTAATAAAAAACGCAGCAACTCACTGAGCTATTTATAGGAAGTGACATAAATCCAGCATAATCTGATGAGATTCTTGTATTCCTTTTCTCTAACTTCCTTTTGCCACCTCCTGTGAGTAACCGTCTTTTGTATCTTGCCTGCCCTTTATGGGCTGTCTCCTGCTTTGTGATACATAAACACATACTGCCACATTTCTTCTGAGATCACTTACTGTTCTCAGTCATTTACTGTGTAAGATATGTGGCACAATATATTCATGTGTCTGGGAGTGTGACAGCTTGCTGTGATATGTGTTAAATACAAACACAGCACGTGAATGTGATGCACACTGATATAAGCAACAAATCACAGAATCTAGAGATGAGTAAAGCCAGCTACATTTTGTCTGATTTTTCTAGTGCTCTCTTCTTTCATGCGTTTTTTCTTATACTGTTGTTCAGTTTTTGTGTTATTGGGTGCCAGCATAGCCCAGCGTTTGTTGCCCCAAACCCTTTTCTCATGCAGCATCACTCCTACAAATTACTGACCAAGCTTCCTTCCTTTCATAGAATCCTAGAGATGGTACTTGTTCTCTCTTTCCAGTTGCCTGTCCTGCTTTTGTTCCATTCCTGTCTTTGATCCACATGGTCATTGTGTTCTTCATTGTGGTTTTCTAATTAACTTTTTTTGGTTTTGCATCTGTCACTGATAATGTGAAGGAAGGTCATTTGTGCTGTAGTTATTTAGGTGGCTGCACTGGACTCAGAGGAAGCAAATGGGCCATGGTTGGATATGAGAGTCTCTATCTGCAGCTTGTGGCAAATGTGCTGTGGCTGTTACTGCAAGGAAGTGTGGTGGGAGTTCCTCAACAGTTTGTTGCCTGCTTAGCTAATGAGTGCAGAAGTGTTGGTGTGGGTCCAGAATTTATACAGGTAGTTTCTGTTTCTTTAATGCTATGTGCAAAACCCTTTTACAGCCTGTGAGTGGAGGGGAAGGGGCCAAGGAACAAGTTGAACTCATCGCACCTTCCCAGACTGGGCCCAAGGTTGTAAGTGAGACCTTGTGCATTTGACTAGTGAAATACTTTTATGCTTAATCCGTGTCTTTTTTTTCCCCCCTGTACATTAGAAAGTTTACAATTAATAATTTGATCCAAGCTTTCAAACTGCCCTAATTTAAAGAATTTGATTATCCGGTATCTGTAGTCTGTCTCCCTCTAGGTTTGTAGAGAAAAACTGTGAGTTTCAGTATTATTATTTCCAACTTCATGCAGTCTGCTTGAGCTGATATGGGAGGGCTGTGGGTTGATCTTGGAGTTGGGGAATACTGCTTGCCCATAATTCACTCCAGGGGAGTGACCCAGTTGTGGTATTTATGACTTCTCCACTGGAAGATCAAAACAAATCTGTGCCCTCTTAAGGGGAACAGTGATACCAAATGTATGGCTCAGTCCTTGAACGAAACATTCTGTTCAGAATATTAGTCTAATGGGATGAGTACAAGGCTTAGTCTAATACTTACATATATATATATATATATATATATATATATATACACTTCATTTTTCCCCTCCTCCTTCCTCTTCCTATAAGATTGTTCCACTTTAAGGAAGTTAAAATTGGAGTTTTCTAAAAGTTGTATTGCTTTGGTCTCCTGTCACCTGGGTTGTGGCAGCTGTTTTATCATCATAAAAGACTGAACTTTAAGAGCCTTCAGCAACAGAAATTGCCTAAGTGCAGAGCAATAATATTTATTAGTCTAAGCTCATTACTTAATATTTTTGTGGAGCTTTTATGGAACCATGATTTCCAAGCCACGTTTTTTAGCACAGTTACAGGATCATCTATGCATAATGATCTTCTTGCCTACGTGATACCAGAATAATTGTTTTTATAGCCTGCTCTTGAGGTGCAGAATAAATGATCATTGTAAGCCTTTCTCCCATTGTCATCCTTTAATCTTGATCCAATTATTTACACTGAGCAGCAAGATACAGGGTGCCATGCCCCAGACAGAAAGGAAAATTTACGCCTGCAGCTTGATATTTGAAAATCCTCAGAGAAGAACAAACAGTTTTGTTTGGAGAAAGCTAACAAGAAAAATGATTCTTTCTTGAACTTGTATTTGACCAGTAAAGGTGAAAGAAGGATTAGTTTATAGATTAGGAAACAGAAAAATTTTCCAGAATTTTCTTCTGTCATGTCATCTGAGCTCTTCTGTCTGAGTTTTCTGTCTTCATGTCCTAGGTTTGAAAGTATCCCAGTGCATCTTCATTATGGCTGCAGAGAATCAGACTGGGCAAACCTAATTGTGGGTTCAGGCCCTAACTTTGTCCTCCATGCTGCCCATTAATGTGCATGTACTCTACTGAGACCAGTGTTTCTGGAAAAAAAAAAAGAGATGTATTGCATCAAGTTGTACGCACCTTCCTCTGTAATATATTATAAACATTGTGAGGAACTAACCTGCTTAAGGGTGGAGAGGATGTTATCCATTTACCTGCAAAGTGGTGGAGGAGTTGGAAGTCAGGCACTGTGGTTATGGCATATATTTTATTTTTCTCAAATTCTTTTCAGGGTAAGTGAAGAAAAAGAGGTGACGGAAGAACGGCTGAAAGCTGAACAGGAATCCTTTGAGAAGAAGATCAGACAGCTAGAGGAGCAGAATGAACTTATCATCAAGGAAAGGGAAGATATCCTTTAAAAATATGTGCAATGGCTCACTGAAATAAAAAGTGAAGTACAGAGAAATAATTGTTCTAATTTATGGCATAAAATAAATCTGCATGTGCTGCCATTCAAAAGCAATCAGAGAGATGACTTGTCAGCATGTGACACTGGTTCATTTGAGCTTAAACTGCCATCCAGCTGTTCCTATGATGTTGTTTTGCTATGAAATAGATATTTGTCAACTAAAAAATGACAATAAGGAATTTACACATTAAAATATGATTATAGATATTTTTTTAAAATTCTGTTAGGTGGTCATAATTTAGTTCTAAAACTTGCATGGTATTCCGTTTCTCTCCATATCCAGAGAAAGGGAATCTACACTAAATGGATACAAATTAAATATATGTACTAGGAGGTTTAGCTAACTTGGGCTTTTTGTTTGGTGTAGGGTTTGTTTGTATATAAAAAAGTTAGATTCTCTTTTCTTGCTGAATGTGGCTTGCATTTCTTTAAGCTGCATATGCTTAGTTCCAATCCTGGAATATCACATGCAAAGTCACTATTGCAGGAATTGATATTTTTCTTTCTGAGGTGTGACAGACCTTTACAAAATTCTCTTGTACATTTTTCTTCCAAATCTCTGATATTAATGCTTTGTTGTTAAATTCCTCAGAGGGCTAAGGATTGGCTGCAGTGGGATAGGGAAGAGACAGGACTGCAACTACAGGAAAAGCAAATAGTGTGTGATTCATTGGGAGCTGCATTGCTGATGGAGGGTAGTAATGTTGTTTTAAAAAGCATGATGGAGCCCAGTATGCAGTACCGTTTTCAGTCTTGAGCCATCCCTTGTTCAAGTTAAAAGCAAAGTTAGTGACAAAAAGAGGCTGTTCAAGCTATTGGCCGGTGTTGAAACAGAAATAGAGAAAATTCAGAAATTTAAGCATGAATTTGGAGGAGGGTTCTTGAAAATTCTGGCAGTCCTATTTCACAGTTTAGCACTGGAGGTGTAGTGAAAACAATGCTTCTTTATGATGGAACTTGCTTAGCTTAGGGAAGACATTCAGTGATGTGTGGTCTCTGTCAGGAGAGCATTGCCCTGATGACTTAGAACATCCCTTGTAGCACAGTGGCACTTACTGTGTCTGTTTGTCCTAAATGATATACACATCAACAAACTTAGCTGTTTGTGAACTGTTACTGGAAAATATTAGATCTGAAGTATTTCAAGAGCCATTAGATGTGACAACAGCTCTTTGACACTGATTTCACTGAAGCCAGTATTTTGTTGTATATTGAGTCTTGTGTGTTCAGTCAGCTCATGAATGTGGGTGGGATGCATGTTCCTGATTTTTTTGTTGTTTATCCACAAAAAGATTTCACTAGTTCACATGAAGTTTCTGTGGCTAGTGGAAAGTAGACATGCTTGCTTTTTCGTTCTGTTGTTTGGGGTTTTTTCCCTTTCCTTTTGTTTCTTTAGCAGAAATAGATTGCACAAGCATGAATACTTTTCCAGAAGTCTGGTAGACATGGCAGAAGGTTAATGCATGCAATTTTACACTTCATAAAACTCTGTAAAACCTAGATATATAAAACAAGGTTATAATTTAAAACAATGTAATTTTAACTGCTGCAATACTTGCCTATCATACATGAATGATTCAAGATCTTCAGTGTAACTCTGATCACTTAATTTTTTAAAGCTTGTTGCAGAGACAAGGAATAGTACAAATGACTTGCCGAGGCTGAATACAGATTATGGCTGTTTCAAGTACAGCAACTTGAAATTCCTTAATTTCTTCTGGATTATAGTGTCCACTTGCAAATAAGATATCAGGGATATAATACCATAAGAAAAAAAACTTGAAGCCTGTTAAAATCAATTTTATCTGTTTTTTTTGCCCACATAGTGAATTTATTCCCTATAAGATAACTTTCTTTACTGCAGTATTTAAAAGTACCATGCAGTAACAAATTGGTGCTTCTGATATAAATGCAGCTATCCAGCAAAGTGCAATTTCAGCCTGATAAGGGTTTAGTTCACTTAGCAGGGACTGTGTGGGTTGTTTTCAGCTACACATGTTTTTGTTGTTTTGTTTTTTCCTTTGAGATTCTTGGAGGAGAAATACTGTTTGGTGCTTGAAATCCCTATTTTGAGGAAAATCCATCCTTATTTTGTTGTGGTTGATTTTTTTTACCACTGGGAAGCTGTGAAGACCTCTCTGTTCAAATTTGCTGCTCATGAACTGTGAAGCTTTGGGGAGAAGGGAGATGGGTGGGTATGCAAAGATCTCACTGCAAAACTTTGAGTAACTTATCAGCATTTAGAAAATAGCATGGGCTATTTTCTTTGGGCTGTCTGCAGCCCAAGCTCACATTTACTGTGGAACTGCCCAGTGCTGTCTGGGTAGGGAGCAACAAATAAAATTTCATGCAGATTTAGAAGTCAATTCTACCCTTCCTTGGCAGGTGAAACTTTGAAAATGGAGTATTTAGTATTAGGGCTTGCTGTTAATGGAGAACAAGAGTGATGAGCATACTGTGAACCATAAATAGTCCAGCCTATTGCCAGGGTTGCCAAATACTTAGTATTGTATTACAATACTAAGTATTTGGCAATTATCCCAGAATTAAGGAAAATTAGGGATTTCAAGTAGTCAGTTGGTCTACACCTTCTTCCTAAAGAAGTATTAAGGCCTATCATATTATTGTATAATTTGGTCAAAAGTAGTTGTTCTGGCTTGGTTTATCTCATGACATTTACATTTCAGACTGACTTCTTTGAAAAGAAATGTGATCTGAAGTGTTTAAAAAAAAAGTTCCAAAACCGAAAGAGGATCAAAGCTTTGTTTTGTTTGTATTAAACTCCTTTGCTTATAATAAACTGGAAAGTTCTGCTGCTGCTGTTAGAAGATGTGGCACTTAGTGGTGTTTAGGGACACATGCTGGGATGACAGCTCTTGCTGTTCTTACTAAAATTTGCCCAATTGGACTGACCTGGATAATCCAGTAAAAGCTGCTCACATTCTCTTGATGCCCTCCCTGGTGAAAGCATCCTACAACTTTGAAGATAATAAAGTGGTGGGGAAAAATATCACTTTCTGAAAGTGAAGTGTGTGTAAAAGATAAAGAGGCAAAATGTAAATGGCGTGTGTGTTGGGAAAGTGAGATCTAGAACATGAGATCTGGAAAGAAAGACTTGGGAAAGGAGATTGGGTGCGACTGATGTGAAAGCAACAAAAGCCTGTGACTGATGGGTTCAGAAGTGTCTGGGATAAGCAGCTAGGGTTAATAAGAACCAAGGTGGCGGCAGGTGACCTTGGATCAGTCAGACAATTTTAAGACAACTGATGCAAGCAGGGATGTGTCTGTTTAGGGTGTTCAAGCACCCTCTGAACTTTTGAAATAGAATTTGGGATTAAGTTCATGCGAGAATTGCCATGTATCACCTCCTGTGGTGTCTTCTACAGGATCTACTCTTGGTATTGGTGTTCTCTTTGCTGCTGTATGGTGACTAAGCTGCTTCTAGTGGCAGTCTAGATTCTGGAATTGGCTTTGGAGTGTGTGACTTGCAACTTCCTTGTTCTTATTTGTGTTATTTCATTTGCATTTCCACAGTAAGGGGTGAGCATTGTGCACCATGTTATGCACTTAGACTACTTGTGCTGCATCTTTTTCCTCTTTTGCTAGGAGCTGCTAATAGAAAAGCTTTTGGCTTTCCTTTTTTTGTCCCTGATGTATTTTCAGGCACCTATTATTAATTTAGGTCCCAAATATAATTTAATTTAACAATCAGGAAAATATCCTTTGTAAGATGTCCCAATACTGTCATGATATATGTCTTAGGAAAAAAAAATATAATGAGATTATTAAGAAACAAATACTACTGATACTTCATAGCTCAAAAAAATTATGTTGTGGTCTTTAGCTTTTCTTGTTATCATCATTGGGGATTTTTTTCATGTAAATTTGATGCGGTTGCATAAATGAAGAAGAAAAAGCAGCTATAACATTTCTGTAAAGACTTACTAATAGGTGAAGAGGAAACTTACTAAAAAATTTTAAGAATTGGTTATTGAATTCTAAGCTCTGTTTAAATTATTATTATTATATAGACAAGGAATAGGCAGATAAAGGAAAGAAGAGATTCTGTTTATTACAAACTTTTTTCTTTTTTGTAGATTTAAACTAGTCACCTGTACTATGCTACTGTTTTGGTTTATATTTAGAATGCACCTTTTTGTTGGAATTATTTTCTGACTGAACATAGACTTACAAAGTGGTTTGACCTTGAAATATCATCTAGTCCAAGCCCTGGACAGGGACACCTCCCAGTAGACCACATTCTGAAGACCCAGTCAAATTCATGCAACAAATCCTGTATGATTTACTTGGTTAGTCTTAAAATTGATCACAGACTCTGTTTACATATGTCCTTAATATTATAGAACTACTTAATTAGTTGGTTTTGCATGCAGTTAACATGAATATTAATTTAACTAAAACAGTTCATTTGCTTATAGTGTTAGTGAGACATAGAATATTAATTTGCTGGAAGAATAATGAGCTTTATAACTATTATCTAGAGACTTTAATAAAAAGCTTTTAGTTTTGCCATAGTACTGTTCATTACATAAGTCTTGCATACATAAATTAGGGCCACTTACATATTTTCTCCTTTTCCTATCTTAATGTGTTAATGTAAAATTAGTAGTGTTTTTCAGAAGAAAAAGAGGTACTGGCTTGCTTAATGCAAAGAACAAATTCGTAGAAAAAGGAGATACCAGAATACGGAATTTACTTGCTGGTTCTGCCTTATTTTCCCTGTAACATTAAATCTGATCTTCTGAAAATATGAACACTTCTGCTTCCTTTCCTTTTTTAATCAGACCCACCAAGTCGTCATCACAGATGAGGAAGCAAAGGTGATCTTGCACAGAAGGGCTTTGGCCATGTACTTTGTTTGATGTGTGGTCCCAGTGTCCTGTGTGGCAGGTTCATGTGTGTGTGCCTCCCCGGGGCT